CCAACATTACTGAGTTGCCAGTCTGGCAAGATAAATAGGCTTTTCCTTAAATGTTTTAAAGTTCGTAAAAATATTAGATATTTATGTGTGTGGGCAAATATAAATATGTGTATGTGCATATATATAAACTCACAGTGGTTCTCTTAGGAAGAAGAGCACTTAGTCATGAGTTGTTTTCAATTTTCTTATAATACCATGCTTCAGTTTTTTATTTTTTATTTTTTTAGTTTGAAGGTCGAACTAAAAAAAGGATTTTGTTGTTGTTGTTAAGTATCATCGAGTCGATTCCAACTCATTGCAACCCAGTATAGGGTTTCTAAGGAGTGACTCTTGGGTTTGAACTACCAACCTTGAGGTTAGCAGTCCTGTGCTTATCCTGTGCCACACTCAGACTCCATATATATATATGGTATGAGGAGGGGGCTTCAGATGTTGGATAAAAATTCCATTATCTTTCTATTCTATTTTTCCTTAACTTGAAACCTCCTCATATTGTTAAATACAAAAAAGCATAAAATATCAAACAAAGCACCCCAAATTCTACCAATCAAATAACGCTGTTGACCTTCAAACTAAAAAAAAAAAAAAATTGAAGGAAGGTATTACAAGAAAATTGAAAACCACTCATGACTTAAGTGCCTTCTTCTTAAGAGAACCACTGTGAGTTTATTGCCCATTGTGGAAGGAAAACAAACCAACCCACCACCACCACCACCTCCAGCCCCATACAACTGCCATTTACTTACTTAACCAATTTAATTGAGATACCTCAAACTCCTTTTCACAGGGAGTAAGGAGCTCTAGTAGCATAGTGGTTACAAATTGGGCTGCGAACCTCAAGGTCAGCAGTTCGAAACTACCAGCTGTTCCGCGGGAGAAAGATGAGGCTTTCTGCTCCCATAAAGATTTACAGCCTCAGAAACCCTGTACAGGGTCGCGATGAGTTGGAACCCACTCCACGGCACATAATCACCACCAAGTGCCCTTAAGTACTTACTCATGACTTGTTCTCAGTACTTGTTTCATAAGGTTTGCTTGCATTCAGTCCGTAAAATCATCCGGTTCTTATTATTACATGGCTTATTTACTTTTCGTTTTAAGCTTTCCCCTCCCCTCATCACAGCTTAAAGTCAAAGTGGGGGCAGGTGGTTGTTTTCTCTTTCACACATACCTTTGCTTTGGCTAAGAGGGTAGTCTTTGCCTGTTAGTAACAGCTGTGCGGTTTTTGTTAGCTTGTTGGTTTTGTTTTGTTTCTGTAAATGTTGGCAATCTCCAGAGATTTGAGCTGTGTGTACTGCCTCGGTTACAACTTTGCCACTGTGTACATCAAAATGAAAGCAAGCAGTTGACCATACTCTGAAAAATGTACAAACATTTACTAGCAAGAACACACACACACAAACAAGTACAAATATCCTGTTCATATAGCTCAAGGAAAGGTGCACTGCCCTGGGCATCAACAGGTAGGAGAGCCTATACCATCCCCCAAACCTACCACCCATCTTGAACTATACCAACAAAAATCTATTATATCATTTTTATGCTAATTTAACAAATCCTCTGGGTTTGAAGGTTATTTGAAGTGTTAAGTACTCTAGGTGTTAATCATGATTAGACTATTTCAAATGTAACCAGTCACCCCAGAGGTATAATTTCTGATACTTCAAATGTAATTAATTGTCCCCAGAATATAGACAAGACATGTAGATTACATACTACTGTGTAGTTAACTATATATGTTGTTGTTGTTGTGTGCCGTGGAGTCAGTTCCTGTACAGGGTTTCCGAGGCTATAAATCTTTACGGGAGCAGAAAGCCTCATCTTTCTCCCGCAGAGCCACTGGTAGTTTCGAACTGCAGACCTTGAGGTTAGCAGCCCGATTAGTAACTACTATGCTACCAAAGTAAATACTAATATAGAGAGAAATACTAGTGCCACACACTTGTGTATTTATGTTTAATTATTGTAGTCCTTGTGTGGTGCTGTTGGTTGATACACTGGACTGAAAGATTGGTTTGAACCACAAGGTCAGCAAGTTCAAGCTCTCCAGCCGCTTCTCAGAAACTCTACACAGGATCGATATGGGTCGGAACCAATTCAACAGCACTTAACAACAGCAACAACTTTGCAGTCCTGATACGCCACTGTAGGATAAGCACTGTATTGCTAACCACAAGATTAGTGGTTCAAACCCACCAGCCGCGCCTCAGAAACCCTATAGAGGGTTAATATGAATCTGAAATGAATGGATGGCACTTAACAACATTTTTAAAGTACATTTCAACACGACAACAAATGAGAGAAATTTACAACCAGAAGGGACCATGTATTATATGGATGAGCCACAGAAAGTACCAAGTTAATGTCAGAGTGTCACAAGCTTCCAAATGGCAGAGCCAGTTATCTGGTAAGGTCGAACTCCCATTAATATACTATTTTCCAGAAATTCCCTAGCTCTTCCTCATCTATTTCCTATATACTAATAGAATTTTGCCAAGTTCACCAAAAATTGAGTTGTTTTAATAATTAAAATGGGATTGCATTGAATTTATAGCTAATGGGAGAATTGAGATGTACTTTGAAAATTTCTTAAGATTAAAAAAAAAAATCTAAACTTGAAAGTACATTTCCCCTGTTCCCCTCCCCAGTGGGGGGGAAAAAAAAAAAAAAAGTTTGTTGTCAAATGGAGCCTGTCAGATATGGTCCCTTACCTGAGCTCCTCTTTCTCTCCTATCTTCCCTAATTGCCAATTCTGTGGGGCTTCCCTTTTCGATCCTCCAGCAAAAACGTGCTCTATCTACCCCATGACTGTGCCTGCATCTGGGTCCAGTGAGGACCCCACCGCAACTCCCCTCCATCAGTCTGGACCCCTAGGCACTCCCCTTGCCACTGGTCTGCTACCATCTTGAGATTGGTTGGGCCTCCCAGCTGAGAGGAGAGAAGAGAGAAAGGAAAGTAAAATTGGAGAAGGGGGGTTATCATAAAATAAAAATGACAGGTTCGTCGACACAGCTTCAGGCTTTCACAGTTTTTACTGTATTTACTTTTCAGAGTCCTCAGGTTGCTGTGGCATGAAATCTATCTGTTTTATAGCTGCATTTAGTGTGATAGCCAAGGGGGAATGTGCTTAATCCATCTTACTTGGAGCCAGAATAGAAAATTCAGAACTGAATTTATCAATAGGAAAGTAATAAATGAGAGTGCATGCTATCCATGCAATGTTGTGTAACCATTATAAAGAATAAAAGTCTAACCCATTGTTTTCAAGTCAATTCTAGCTCATAGTAACTCTAAAGAACAGAGTAGATCTGGCCCGTAGGGTTCCCAAGGCATTCATTTTACAGAAGCACACTACCTTATCTGTCTCCTCTGGAGCTGCTGGCCAATTTGAATCGTTGACCTTGTTAGTGTCTTAGAACTTAACCCCCTGTTCCACCAGGGATTTTAAAGATTATATGTATACTGAAATAGAATGATTGTCAAGATATATTATTAAATAGCAAGGTGTAGACCATTTGAAGGAAATATTTAATATTTGTAAATATGTTTATTTATGTGCAGGAGTCCCTGGGTGTGATGAAAACAGTTAATGCTCTTGGTTGCTAACTGAAATGTTGAAGGTTCCGGTCCACCTACAGGCCAGTGAAAAGTCTGTGAAACACAGTTGTTCTGCTCTTGATGCATGGGGTCACCAAGAGTTAGAATTGACTCGATGGCAACTGTTTTAATCTATAGATATATATGTATCAATCTATATACATACGAACTACTGGTGTGGCACTGTAGGATCAGCACTGGACTGCAAACCACAAGGTCTGTGGTTCAAACCCACCAGCTGCTCCTTGGAAACCCTATACAAGGTCGCTATGAGTCGGTACTGACTTGATGGCACTTAACAACAACAATCTGTATACATGGAGTTCTGGTGTGGTACTATAGGATAAGCACTGGACTGCTAGTCAAAAGGTCAGTGGTTCAAACTCACTAGCTGCTCCTCGGAAACCCTATACAGAGTCACTGTGAGTCAGAACTGACTTAACAAATGGCACTTAACAACCGAAACAGCTATATACATACATGTATTTATCTATGCTTATGTGTACATAAGGCTAGGGATTACAAGAATGGGTACCCATGGATGTTTCCGAGAAGAAGATCTGGAATGTTTGGAGACTGGGAAGGCAAAGAGACTAACTAATACATTTGGCTCCATTTGTGTTATCAGTAGTGGTAGATCAGTCTGCTATACCAGTCAAACCAAATACCAGACTCACTGCCATCCAATTGATTTCAGCTTATAACAACTGTATAGGACACAGTAGAACTGCCCCTTAGGGTTCCTGAGACTGTAAATCTTTACAGGAGCAGACAGCCTCGTATTTCCCCTGTGGAGCAGCTTGTGGGGTTTGAACCACTCAACTTGTGGTTAGTTGCCCACTGTTTAACCCACTATGCCTGCAGGGCTCCATAGTGGTTAGTTTACAAACTTCCAATAAGTCTGATGGCATGTAAGAAAGAAACCAGTGAAGGTAATAACAAATGAAGCAAGCGTTGAATTTTATGGAAATCCATGGCCCTTGTATGTTGACTTAGCTCTTTCTCCAGTCTAAATGCCAATACAACCAGGAGTTCTTGGCTTCTCTAGCCAATACTGCTGAAGTAGCATGGGTCATGCCTCTGTGAGGAACTAGGAAGGCATTGGACAGTCTTAGACATCCATCTGAAATCATTCATTCTTGAGTTTCTTATTTGGCACTTCTGTTGTAAACTTAAGAAATTTAGCAAGGACAAATCTTTGAACCCTAACTACCTTTTGCAGTCTGGGCCAGCCCACTTAATAAAAGGAAAAATCATATGTGTCTTTAAGTATGTATGTATATTGAAGATCCCTCGTGTGGCACTGCAGGTATGTGTATGTGTGTATATATGTTTTGTAAATGTACTTGTGTAGCACTCCTAGTTTCTTTTGAATTACCTTAGGCATGTATTCTTTATCACAGATTGATTCATCTAAATAAGATTGATCCCCATGCTCCGAATGAAATGCTGTATGGACGAATGGGCTACATCTATGCACTGCTTTTTGTGAATAAGCACTTTGGAGAGGAAAAGATTCCTCAAAGTCATATTCAGCAGGTACAGGATTTTGTAGGACCCCACTTACTGTCTGCTTGCACTATTGTTTTTATTTTCTCAGTAGCTGGAATCTGTATCTTAACCTCAAAAAGTCACACCTAACAAAGAACCAATAGCTTCTTCCTGCGTGCTGTCATAAGCAAGTTAGGGAGTGAGTCTAAGAAGTCCAGCCGGCTCTATTGGAGAGTTTACATACCCTTTCAGAAGAAAAACAATGCCAGATTTCTACTAGATGCCGGAAGGAATTATCCTCTCCTTTAACAGGTGATGGAAGCAGTGGTTATGCACTGTGGAGTCGTTTTCAACTCATAGCGACCCTGCACAGGGTTTCTGAGGCTGTAAATCTTTATGGAAGCAGAAAGCCTCATCTTTCTCCTGCAAAACAGCTGGTAGTTTTGAACTTCTGACCTTGAGCTTATTAGCAGCCCAACTCGTAACCACTATGCTACCAGAGCTTCCCTTAACAGGTGCAGGGTTCAAATGGTCCAAACCCTCCCTCTTTCAGGCAGAATACAGTTGCATCCATTCTCTGAGTGCAGAATTAAACTGTGCCATCCATCACTGTGAATTGGTATCTAATTCATCGTATTCCTTATAGAAAAACGTTCCTTACCTCCACTGGGAAGTTTTGTTTTCTAATTCTCTCATTCATTATTTGTGTCGGTTTCCTCCCTGTAGATTTGTGAGACAATTTTAACCTCTGGAGAAAACCTGGCTAGAAAGAGAAATTTCACAGCAAAGACACCACTGATGTATGAATGGTACCAGGAATATTACGTGGGGGCTGCTCATGGCCTAGCAGGAATTTATTACTTCCTGATGCAGGTAAGGAGTGATTAGGGTGAAACTTTGAAATGTGCTTCCTGAGTATACTGTCTTGGTGAAAAGATAAATGTTCCAGCTCTGTTTTATTTTCTCTGCCAACCCCTGCATCACTCTCCTTATTGTAACCATCCTAGATAAACAGCAGTCAGAGTTCCCAATGTGAATTTTAAAGTGTATATACATAAAAGGCACAGTGCTTGGAGATGACATTTAATTTGTAGCCAACCATACTTAGCTACCTAGAGGCTTTTGTGCAAACTGAAAATACTTTGACCTAGAATTCTATAAGAAATGCCTCCAGCCCTTCTTTTCTTCTCTCTCAGCAAATGTTTTGAATTGAGAATATTTTTCCTCATTATACAGCACATCCCACTGAAACATATTCCAGGAGTGAAAACAAAATCAATAGAAAGCAAATGAGCGCAGGTTCTTCAAGCTGGCTTAGAGGGCAAGGCTGAGGGAGCTTTAGTGAATTTTGTGTAACTTACCTGAAAAATAGCTGAATTTGCTATACCAACAACTCCTAGGATCTAATACTATTGAGAGACACCAACCAAAGTTGGGTAGGCTAAGGACAGAAAGAATTTGCCACAACAAACATAACTTGGCATGGTGGGTCATAAGAGAGCTTCTTATAAGAACATCATTTTAAGAAGCTAACTAAGTTCTTTAAGGAGAAATTGTTACTTAGAACAAGAATTCACAGGAGAGGTCAAGATGGTAGCTTAGTCAGCACACCACCCTGTCCTTGCACAACGAACACCTGAGAAACCAAGTAAAATAGAGGAAGATGACAAACAACGAAGCCTGAACATCAGATGGAAGGCTAAAAATTAGAAACAAACACCACCCACCACCACTGACCACATGAAGAAACTGAAGGAACGCAGCAAACAAGTAGTGATACTGAGTGGAGGAGTTCTTTTGGCAGCTGCACCAGCTCAGCCTGGGCATCCTGAGACAAAGCCAGTGGTACCCGGGAAGTAGCACAGGAAGGTTTCACAGCATTCCCAGTAAGAGAGAAACTGTAGACACACCCAGAGGAAGCAAGATGAGTGGAACATCCTCTGGACCTAAGAAGGGGAAGCACAGGAAGGAGGACAAGAGTTCCAGGGATCCTGGTGTTCACAGAATAGGGAGAGAGCCAGGGTCCAGAGGGAGTGGCAGGCCCTGACCATTAGGGGGGCTGACACACAAGAAGCAATAGGTTCAGAGTGTAAACCAAGGCCCCAGACCCAGCTGGACTTCAGGCAGCACCTCCCCTTACTCTCACTTGGTTGGCAGCACACCCACTTGCCCATCACTCCCTCTGACTTAGTAATGAACAGCAGTTACCAGCTCACTTGCCCGCCAGTTACCACCTCCCTCAGACGCCCCTCACAAGCCAGCAAGCAGCAGCAACTGTGCACTTATCCACTTAGCACCCACCTAGTTCCCCCACCAGACAGAAGGCTGCACACCCCTGCAGGTTCACACACTCATTTCCCACTGCCCAACCCTGTGGGTGGTATTACCCATGCTCCTTCACACTCACACACCAACCAACCTCCCCAGCCCATCACCCACCCCTCCAAATCAACTAGATGGAGAGCATATTCCTAAGCTCCTGGGAGCCCACCATCTACCCTTCTCCCCTCAGAGCACTCATTCACACTCCCCTGCCCACAACTGCTCAGCTTGGCCTTAACCCTCTCTGGACAACCAGTGAGCAGAGCCCTGTGCTCACACTGCCTGCCAGCAGCTGCACCACCCATCCGAAGGGATTGAGTGCTCTGATGCAGCCTGACTGGCAACCAGTATAGCGTGTCTGCACTGCCCACCTGGACTTATCAAAATAAAACAGTAGCAAGACAAAGCAAGCAGACATACAGTCATAAGACCTTACTACCTCAGAAATAGCAGGCAATATCAAATCATACGAAGCAGAACAAGGTGGCTCAAGCTAATTACCAAAATAAGGGCCACACAATCTTCTGGCAAGGAATTTAGAAGAACTCCATGAGGCATCTCCAGCAGACCAAGAAAATACCAAAGTAAACAGACAAAACTAGAAGAATTCAAGAAAGCAATATAAGAACAATATGACAAAATCAATAATTAGAAACCATACAGAAATAGTAACTAGAAATCCAGAGTATGAACAGTAAAATTTCAAAATAAAGAACTCAGTGGAAAGACATAGAAGTATAATTAAATTCAATGGAAAACAAAATCAGCAAAATAGTTGATAAATCCCTTGGCACCAATTTCTTTGAGGAATAAATAAAAAAAGAATGAATCACTGAAACATATCATAATCAGACTTTCCAAAATAAAGACAAAGAAAGAATCCTGAGAGCAACTCAGGATTTCTCTGGAGAAACCATGTAGGCAAGAAGGCAATGAGACGACATATATAAAACTCTGAAAATAAAAAACTACCATCTAAGAAGTATCTATCCAGAAGATTGTCTCTCAAATATAGTGGTAAAGCTAGGATGTTCCATATCAACAGAAATGATGGGACTTTATAAAAACCAAACCAACCTGACAAGAAATATTAAACGGAGCCTTTTGGACAGAGAATCAACAGCATCAGACAACAGCCTGAGATTAACATACAGGACAACATCAGCCAGATGCTAACTCAGATAAAGAGTTCTCAAAATGAAAAGCTACAAGACTGAAAACAGGGAAGCAGAGATGTCAATCTTTAAATGACAACTTCCAAACACAAAAGGAGGGGGAAATGGTGAAGTTGTGTGGAACTTTCATATAGAAAGGAAGTCAAGGCACTTTCAAGAAAGAAAAGATTTTTAAACTTGGAAATATAAAGGTAAATTATAGGGTAACCACAAAGAAAATACCTGCTCATCAGAATAAAAAAGAAAAAAATCATGAAGTCTCAGTAAACACAAAATCAGTATCATCAAAGGAAATGAAAATTCATAAGCAAAATGAACACAGAAGATTAAACAGAATAAAGAAAGTATCCACATCACACATGCACACAAAAACAAAATGACAGCAGTAAATCTCTATCAATAATCCCACTAAGTGTTAAATGATTTAAATGCAGCAATCAAGAGAAAGAGAGTGGCAGAATGGATTTTAAAAATAACTTATCTGTATGATCAATATGTTGTATACAAGACACACATGTTAAACACAAAGATAGAAGAAAGTTAAAAAGAAAAAGAAAAACATATCAAGCAAATGGCCATCACAAAGGAACAAGCATGACATTATTAATTTCTGATAAACTGCTTTAAGGCAAAAACCAGCATAAGAAACAAGGAAGCTTCTATAGGTTCATGTAAAAATTCTGTTAGGTGACAATTCCATTTTTCTGTGAACTTTTTGAAGTTTCCTTAAATAATGACTAAAAGGTCAATCAAGCAAAAGAACATACCCATAATAGATATGCACCCTTAGAATGAATAATTCAAACTTTAATAGAATTGAAAAGAGAAATTCACAATTGCCACAATTACAGTTGTTATTGTTGTTAAATGCTGTTGAGTCAGTTCTAATTCATAGCAACCCAGTAATGTTTCCGAGGCTGTAAATATAAGGAGCTCTGGTAGCGTAGTGCTTATGAATCGGGTTGCGAACCTCAGGGACAGCAGTTTGAAACTACCAGCTGTTCCGCGGGAGAAAGATGAGGCTTTCTGCTCCCGTAAAGATTTATAGCCTCGGAAACCCTATGCAGGGTCGCTGTGAGTTGGAACTGACTCCACAGCACATAACAACAATAACAAATATTTGCAGGAGCAGAAAGCCTCATCTCTCTCCCATGGAGCAGCTGGTGGGCTGGAACCACTGACCTTGGGGTTCACAGTCCAGAACTTATCCTCTAGAGTCATTGAGCTGCCGTGTAATTATAGTGGCAGTGTTCTTTCAGGTCCGTTTTAAATCTTAGCAACCGTGTAAACCTTTACTTAGCAGAAAATCTCATCTTTCTCCCTAGGATTGGCTGTTGGATTTGAACTTACTGACCTTACTGTTAGCAGCGCAACACCTAACCCAGTATGCACCAGAACTCCTTCCTAATTATAGTGGGTGGTGGTGGTGGTAGTTGTGTGCCACTGAGTTGGCTCCGACTCATTATTAATTTGAGGCTGTAAATCTTTATGGGAGCAGAAAGCCTTGTCTTTCTCTCACGGAGCAACAGGTAGATTTGGACTGCTGACCTTGCAGTTAACAGGTCCACTAGTAATCCACTACACTATTAAGGCTCCTTCATAAGTACAGTTGTTGTGAAGTGCTGTTGAATTGATTCCAATGCAGAGTGACCCTGTATGGTGAGTTTGAACCTTGCAGTTCAAAAGACGTTGCAGTCTGATGCATTCACCCAAAGCGCCACACCAGGACCCATAATTATAGTGGTGGTGGTGGTTACATGCCGTGGAGTCGGTTCTGACTCATAGCCACCCTGTACAGGGTTGGAGACTTTAATACACTACTCTTGATAAAGGACAGAACGAGTAGAAAAAAACTAAGCAAAGAAGAGAGAAGAGCTAAACATTACAATCAACCATTTTGGTCTCAAAAACATATAGAACACTCCACCCAGCAACAGCACAATATATATTCTTTATTAAAAAATGGGAGGAGGTATGCTGGGGGTGGACGAATGGAACTGGGGAACAAATGAGGATGTGGGGAGAGTGCTGAAACATTGTAGGGGTTATATCCAGTGTCACAAAGCAATTCCTGTGTGAATTATTGATTGGAAAACGAATTCACTTTGTAAACTTCTACCTAAAGCACAAGAAAAGAGGAAGAATGCAATTCATGGCAAGAAAAAGTCCATTTTAATGGCAGCAGAACACAATTTGGAAAAAAGAAACATGTTTGATTAGTATATTCATCATGAAAGCGTGCCTATCCTCTACTACCAGCTGGTTTAGTAACTAGCTATAAAAATAATCAATGACAGTCCTCCTGGCTAATGTTAACAATGACAGTAAAGCTGAAACCATCCAGGTTGTTCTGCTGTTGGATGGAAAGTCACACTTGGAGTGTTAGTGTCAGTAAGAGACCAGTGTCTTCATTCTCCACTTCTCAAGTAGATAGTTTTACTGAAGAGGGCTTTTGACAATTCAGACTTGAATTTCTTCCGTTTTCTTGCGCATTGCTTCAATGTCTCATATTTCATAAAGTAAAGGTGGTTTCTTCAGTATTGATGAAAGGAGAGTTTCTGTCTTAAGTTTCCAGGTGAGTTGGAGTCACCCCGGTAAGTGGCCGGGCAGCCTCATTGGCCTCTCCGTAAAATAGGTCATCAGGAGCTGTCTTTTCCTCCCATCTCTTTATTCACTGTAACAAGGAATCTGAAAACCCAAGTCCTGATTTTTCCATTTGCATTTTATTATCTATATGAAATGACTTTCTTTATAGTCCCGAAAGTCTACTAGAGTAGGCACCTCTGCATCTATGTGGACTTCTGGTATGGTGCTGTAGGATCCACACTGGACTGCAGAGCTGCTCCTTAGAAATCCTCTACAGGGTCACTCTGAGTCAGAAATGACTCAGTGGCACGTAACAACAATCACAACATGTGTCTATGTAAAATAAAACAATATTCTTTTTAGACCAGGTTGGATAATTCCTGCAAGCCTGAGGAAAATCCACTCATTCTACTCTAATTTTTAAATTAAGCCTGAACTGTATTCTTTGGGTAAAGAATTTAGTGCACATTCAGTACCTGTACAAATCACCAGTATCTGAGCTCTCTGTACATGCCACTGTCCACCCCTCTCTGTCCTCTTCCATGGAAACATCAACTACCACTGTTTTCAGTAGAATAATGAAGGCTGTGTTTAGTTTACCTCATGCTTTCTGACCCTAAAGCTTGCTTTCAATATTGAAACCTTACCAGTGACTCAGGAAGATCATTTAGTATATGCATGGAGATAAAAACAAATAATGAAAAGTAACATTATACATCAGCAGGTCCCAAGGATTAACTTCACTAAATTTTCATTTGTCCCATTATTTGAAACTGCAAAATGAAACCTCAAACCATGGAAATGAAACATTTAGGTGAAGAAATTGGATGAAATCTGATAGCTCTTAGTGGCTTCCAATTCCTTTTGGTCATGCTTTCTGCTGTGTCCAAGACTCATCCCTGAGGCCTAAGAAGGCCTATGTGCTTCAAAACTAGTAACCCTTTCTCTTTTTAGCCCAGCCTTCAGGTGAGCCAAGCCAAGTTACAGAGTTTGGTGAAGCCCAGCATAGATTACGTCTGCCAGCTGAAATTCCCGTCTGGTAATTACCCTCCATGCGTGGATGACAGTCGGGATCTGCTTGTCCATTGGTGCCACGGAGCTCCTGGAGTAATCTACATGTTGATCCAGGCCTATAAGGTAGTGTGTGTGTTCTCACTGTAGAAATAAACTGGAAAATGTAATACAGCTGTGTAAAATTATTCTGATAGCATAATTCTGAAAGGAGCAATAAATAAATCACTTGTTGGGCCTAAGATCATGTTGGTAAATGGATTCTAATTCATTTTACAGTATCCATCTATACCAAAAGTGGACATTATTTCATTAAATAGTAAAATACTTCATTGTTCATTGACATGTAAGAGTAGCCAAGGGTATAACAACTATGTCTGAGCCAAGAGATTTTTTTTTTTTTTATTGTGAATTATGTAGCTTTACATGGGAGAACATCAGTTTTACATTCATCCTATCGTATTTCGTTTCATTGCAATGATCACAATACCCTCCATGCATCATCAAATAACCAAAGGCCTGCTCACCCCCACCCCCAGCCATCAGCACACAGCCCCCTCCATCCCTGAGTCCAGTGTCCCCAGCTGCTCCATCTGTCCACATCATTGCCTCTGTCTCTAAGATGTATTTTAAAATATGTCAAAAGCTCAATTAAAAATGAAAAATCAGATTTTTTGATACCTAAGGTATAGAATCTATAAATGACAAATCTACAGATTGGATATATGCACTGGAATTTGATAGCCTAAATAAAGTTTTAGTGTGTCAAAGTCTACATTTCAGAAACTTGAAGATAATAAAAACACTGTCAAAAACTGAGGAAGGACTCCTAAGCCCATGGACAAGGACCTAGCCATGGGGGCTAGAGCTGAGCGTGAAGCATCCAGCTGATATGAAGTGAGGGGAAACGTACAAGAATGCCCAAACTTGCAGATAGTACCCACTTGACCTAGCTTTGATGGCTTGATCAGAACTCAACTCAAGGAAGATAAATTTGATAAGGAAGCAAGTGTACATTGGCTACCTAAAATGTGTGTGTTGGGGGTGAGGGAGGGAAGAGAGAGGCTATAAAGGCATGAAGTGGCTGACTTACAAGTTTTCAAGAGGGAGTTTAGTTTCAGAGTGTGTACAGAAAGGTAGAATCCCCACTGAATAGTTTTCATCTTGTCTAGATGAGTCTGATGAAAGGAGCTGGGGATAAGATTCATTTGATTCACTAGTGAGTAATTGTTATCGTGACTAATTGCAATGGTCACAACTGTAAAGGTAAAATTTGTATAGCATAAAGAGAGAGTAGTTAATCTTATAGTCCAGGAAGAGAGGACCCTAGTACTATCAAGGGAAAAGAGCACTAGTGGAATGTGGTACCCTATCCAGATAAGCAGCGACAACAGAAATGGAGGCAGAGATGAGGACTCCAGACTTATGGAAAGAGAAAGGTTGTGTGCTGGGGACCAGGAGGTAGGCTTGTAGAATGTGCCCTTTGTTTGTTTAAATGATTATGTATTCCTGAATGTTTTTGTGTACATCCGAAAAAAAAAAAAAGAATAGAAGCAAATACTGTTAAATGATGATGCATGGAGGGGATTATAATCATTGCAATGAAATGAAATAAGACAGGATGAGTGCAAAACCAATGTTCTTCCATGTAAACTATCACTCAATTCACAAATAAAAGCTTAAAAAAATAAAAATAAAAAACAGTGAGATATAGAGACAGAGATGCTGTTTGTTGGAAAGTACTGTTTAGTTAGCTCATACAAAACAGAGTAAAACAGTGCCCTGTCCTCAAAAACAACTTAAGTAAGGAGCTGATGGGTCTGATCAGACTGTCAAACCCATTAATTCCAACAGGTGCTAGCTATAATAAAAGTTAAACTGCTGTATTTACTTTGAAGGATGTTGTTGTAGACGCTGTGGAGTCAGTTCCAACTTATAACAATCCTGTGCATCATACTTCCTGCTCCAGCCCCATCCTCACAATTGTTATGTTTGTGCCCATTGTTGCTGCCTTTGTGTTAGTTCATCTTGTTGAGGGTCGTCTTCTTTATCACTAACCTCCCACTTTTCCAAACATGATGTCCTTCTCCAGGGATTGGTCCCTCCTGATAATATGTCCAAAGTCTGAGAGATGACGTCTTGCCATCCTCCCTTCTAAGGAGCATTCTGGCTGGACTTCTTCAAAGACAAATTGATTTGTTTATTCTTCTGGCAGTCCATGTGATTTTCAGTATTCTTTGCCAACACCGTAATTCAAATGCATTGGTTCTTTTACGCTCTTCCTTATTCATTGTTCAACTTTCACATGCATATGAGGTTATTGAAAATACCATGGCTTGGGTCAGGTACACCTTAGTCCTCAAACTGGCATCTTTGCCCTTGAATACTTTAAAGAGGTCTTGCACAGCAGATTTGCCAAATGCAATATATAGGTTGATTTCTTAACTGCTGCTTCCATAAGCATTGATTGTGGATCCGAGCAAACTGAAGTTTTTGACAATTGCTATCTTTTTCCATTTATCATGATGTTATTTATTGGTCTGGTTATGAGGGGTTTTGTTTTCTTTACATTGAAGTTCAGTTCATACAAAGGCTATTTTCTCTGATCTTCATCAGTAAGCACTTGTAAGCCCTCTTTGCTTCCAGCAAGCAAGATTGTATCATCTGCATATTGCACATTATTCATAAGTCTTCCTCCAATCCAAGCAAAATGAAATGTTCACGAACTTCCATCTTTTCTCCATTTATTATGATGTTTATTATTCCCATGGTGAGGATTTTTCTTTTCTTTATATTGAAGTACAATCCATTCTGAGGGCTCTCATCTTAGGACTTCATCCGTAAGTATTTTAAGTCCTCTTCACTTTTAGCAAGGTTGTATCAACTGTCTATTACAGGTTACTAATGAGTCTTCCTTCAATCCTGATGCCATATTCTTCATATAATACAGTTTCTCAGATTATTTACTTAGCATAGAGATTGAATAAGTATGGAGAAAGGATACAATCATGATGTCCAACTTCCCTGATTTTAAACCATTCCGTATTTAGGATATAGTTGTTGTTAAGTGTCATCGAGTATGTTCTGACTCATAGCGACTCTGTTTAAGGTTTCTGAAGAGTGACTACTGGGTTGCAACCGCCAACTTTGCGGTAAGAAGCCCAGTGCTTATCCTACAGCACATCAGGTAGGTATTAAAAATTTGCACTCAAGAGAATATATCTCCAAAGAACAAACAAGATGGCAGATTGGGTAGAATTGCAGTGAGGAGCTCCGTCAGCAACAACACAGAATACCGGACCAGGCAGGCTCAGGAGATGGTGCTAGGACTCTGAACCACATATAAAGGAATATTTAGAAGATTGGAAGGCTTACAGCTTGGAGAATTTATAGCAGAAGCAAGAAATCCATTGCTTTCTAATTCAAGACACTCAGCTGCTCCCCAAGATGCCATCTTGGGAGAGACCAAGCAGGGAAGAATCAGAGCAGCCACAGACGCCTAACAGAACCGTCAAGATAAAGGTGTGGATAATAATCTGGTTTTTTTGTATCTGTTCATTAGTCTCTCACTGTCTGTGCACCTCCATTCTGGTGACCAGAGGGTGTATCTGAGGCAGTGGACACCCTCACCCCACCCCCAGAGTGTTCTACTATGCATGCACACAGACCTCCTCAAAATGTAAAGTGACAGTTTCCACTTAAAACCAAATGGCAATGCAAAACAGCCACAGCCGGCCCTGAACTGTTTATCACTAGGAAAAAGGCCTGAATGGGGATTGTAAAGCGGGACAGGAAGACTAAAAGGGAAATAGGCCAAAAATTAAATCCTGAGTTATGTCACAGTGACCAACAGTGGCATCTTGAAATTTCTCAGAAAGAACAGTGAAAAGGGAAGCCCATCTCATGATCATATCTACTTGGAAGCAATTAGAAAGCATAAAAAATGCAAAAATACACACCCATGTAAGTATTAAGGCCACAGATAATTCCTGAATATGCCCAAGAAACAGAAATAGATGACCATATCAGCACATGTCCAGAAACAAGATAAAGTGACTGAGGCAAATGAGGTGGAAATAGACCTACACTCCATGCTGGAAGATGGGCAGGCTTTAGAAATGCCTGAGAAGAAATTCAGAAGAATGAATGATTATAAAATGTATCAAAACACTATACAATGGAGCTGAGAAGAATAAGGAAGAAGTCAGGAAAGTGCTACAGGAACAATCAGATAAGATAGATACAGCATTGGAAACAATTCAAAACCTACAGAAAGAGGTCCAAACAATTAATAATAGAATATCAAAAATGGATAATATGCTGAAAGGGCAAAGGAGTAGAATTGAAGAGGTAGAAGCCAGAACTAGTGAGCTAGAAGATAAATCTCTCAACACTACTAAGATAGACGAGCAAGCACTAAAAAGGATAAAAAAATCTGAAGAAGGCCTAAGATTCATGTTGGACAGCATTAAGAGGCATAACTTAAGAATTACCGGCATTTCAGAACAGGAAGAATCACACAAGTCCACAGAGGAGATAGTTGAAGAGCTGCTGGAAGAAAATTTCCCTCCCAAAAAGTGAAAAGATAAGCATTCAGGATACTCAGTGAAGCCCAGGAAGGACAGACTCTAAAAGACAATCACCATACATATAATAATCAAACTCCCCAAAATCTAAGATAAAGATAGAATACTAAAAGCAGTTAGGGAAAAGAGAAGTGTAACATACAAAGGCAAGCAAATCAGATTAAGCTTGGATCTCTCAACAGAAAGCACGCAGGCAAAACGGCAATAGGGAGACATATATAAAACCCTGAAAGAAAAATATTGCCAACCAAGAATCCTGTACCCAGCAAAGCTGTCAATGAAATATGATGGAGTAATCAAAACATTCCAGGATAAACAGAAGCTGAGGGATTTTGCCAAAGCCAACCCTGCTATTAAAAACATCCTAAAGGATGTTCTGTGGACTGAGAAGCAACAAGAAAGAACCCACAACAACCAGAGAATGACGTGCGTGGCAGCATCACCCTGAACTCAATTGACAAATGGAAGAGTCAAGAACAGAATAAAATGATAAGAACAGAGGATCTGGGAAGTCAGTCTTTGATCAAAACAATTACAGTGTGAAAGAAGGTAAACACAGAGGAACAGAGATCCAGGTGGTAAGAAGATCAGGTAGATTACAGGATAAAATAGACTATGTTAAATAGAGGGAAGAGTTAATGGAACATAAGGTAACCACAACAATGGGGTTGGTGGCAGCAATACAAAAACGGGGAGGATGCGGAAGAACAAGATAGATAAGGGAACACTGAGACAGGTTTGCATGGACTAAGTTGGACCAGAGGTAAATGGTAATGCATGCTCAACCTTGGAACAACAGGGCTCTGTGATACAGGTATCTAGGCATAGTTTGAAGAGGGGAAATAATACTAATATGCTTGACTGTCTTATGAATGTTGGTTTCCCTTGCCTACTATTGTAAAATAGATACTGGAGTGGGATAGAAAGGAATGCTGGGAAACATGATTATAGAAAACTTGTAAGCCTGTCTTCAGCCTATAACTGATTGTTGTTGTTGTTATGTGTGTGGAGTTGGTTTCCGAGGCTGTAAATCTTTACAGGAGCAGAAAGCCTCATCTTTCTCCCATGGAACAGCTGGTAGTTTAGAACTGCTGACCGTGAGGTTTGCAGTCCAATTCGTAACCATTACTCTACCAGAGCTCCTTTATAACTGATTGGAGCACCTAAAAAGGGTTCTAGAACTTGCCCAGTGAAATAGGCCTCTTGCAAAGCCTTTGTAGAGTATAGGACATTAGGTTGAATCCTGACCCCCAACCAGAACCTTATGAGATGGGACATTCCCACTAGGAAGGACAAGCAGACCAGCCTGAAACAGCTAGAGCAACAGAAGATACATCTTCAAAGAAAGATCATCAGGAAAATCCCAAAACAAAAGCAAGCTTTTCACCAGGGAGCCATCAAGGCAAACAATCAAGTTCCTTCAGGACATACTCCTCTCTAAGACTAAAACTCAAAGCGAACACATGAACAGGCATGTAAGCTTGCTGGCGACCACATTGGTCTACTGGTGAGTGGAAGAGGGGAAAAGGCAGCAATGAAGAAATGGGCTGAATTCAACCACAGTCCATTGACTCCCATTGACTTGGAGATGAGAGAGAGAAGAGGAAGGGCTGGTTGCTCCAAAGTGTGGTGAGACCTGGGGACACTTGAGCCCATGGACAAGGACATAGCCACAAAGAGCTAGAGTTGAGAGTGAAGCATCCAGCTGATATGAAGTAAGGGGAGATGCACAAGAACACCCAAAGTTGCAGACAGTACCCATCTGACCTAACCTCAATGACGTGATAATCAGAACTCGACTAGAGGAAGATTACAAAAAAAAAAAAAAAAAATTGATAAAGGAAACAAGGGTAAATTGCTACAATTTGATGAACCTGACCTATATTTATGGAAATAATAACTCTAAATACCAACAGAGAGGGAAGGAGTCTTCACATCAAGTATCAGTGCTGTCCCCTCTGTACACAAGGTAGATAGGGATGGGCAACTTAGGCGTTGGCTACCTAAAATGAGGGGGTGATACAGGCATGAAGTGACTGGCTTACAAGGTTTCAAGAGGGAGTTTAAGAGTATGGGGGTGCGAAGAAAGTCCCCACTGAATAGTTTTGTTTAGATGGGTCTGGTGAAAAGAGACGAGGATAAAATTTATTTGATTCAATATTGAATAATTGTTATCATGACTAATTCCGACTATCAAAATTGTAAAGGTAGAAGTTTTGTAACAAAACCAAGGGAGTGGTTACTCTTACAGTATAGAAACAGAGGACCATCAAGGGAGAAGCGCACAAGCAGAATGCGGGACCTTATTCAGAAAAGCAGCCACGCCAGAGACAGAGGCAGAGATGGGGTCATAGAGAGGGGGAGCGGCTGAGGACTCTAGATTCATAGAAAGAGAGGGACTCAGAGCTGGTGGTCAGGAGGCAAATTTTCAGAATGTGCCCTTTGGAGGTGTAAATTATTATATATGCCTGAGTGGGGTTTTTTTGTTTTTGTTTTTTTTTTAAAGCTAAAGTGAATAGAAAGAAATACTGTTAACTGATGGTACATGGAGGGGATTATAATCATTGTATTGAAATAAGGTGTATGAATGATTTTTTTAATGTAAAACAACTGATGATCTGCCCTGTAACCTTTCACTCAATCCACAGTAAAAACCTTAAAAAAAAAAAAAAAAAAGTGCCCAATTTACAAATCATAACCTAAAGGAAAAAAAAAACGAATATATCTCCAGTCTTTGATCAAGATTTTGAAGTCAACAAAAGGTGTTATCTCTGTTTTTCTGACAAAGTACAGTGTTTTATAATCCGTCTGCACATCAATAAATGAAAGTTTCTTCTCCAGTTTGTGAAGAAACTTCCTAGTGAAGGACATTCTGGTTACCAAAGAAGGTAACCCGTGTTCTTTGTCAAGTGATTAGTGATAACAAGTTGTTTGTTAAATAATGCTGCTTCATTAGTGATGCTCACATGCACAAACACACATACATACATGAAATTTATACTAGAGAGACAAGGCCAGGACCAATTACTGAAAAAGGAAAAGAAAACTAGTGAATTTAGAAATTTGTCACCACTGAATAGCTTTATAAGGAGCTCTGGTAGCATAGTGGTTACAAATCGGGCTGCTAACCTCGGGGTCATCAGTTTGAAATACCAACTGTTCCATGGGAGAAAGATGAGGCTTTCTGCTCCTGTAAAGATTTACAGCCTTGGAAATCCTGTACAGGGTCGCTATGAGTCGGAATTGACTTCACGGCACATAGCAACACCACCATATAGCTCTATGCCACTAAATTGCTCATCCTCTCTTGCCAAGCCACTTTCCTCTATCCACCCCATTTTTACCATAGCCTTTACTTATTCCTCAGGAAAGAATGTTCATAGAACTTTGTTTCAAATTCCTTAAAACAGAACAGAATGTTCCTTCCCCTGCAGGTGTTCAAAGAAGAACGGTATCTCCACGACGCCTGCCAGTGTGCTGACGTGATCTGGCAATATGGGTTGCTGAAGAAAGGATACGGCCTGTGCCACGGGGCCGCGGGAAATGCCTACGCCTTCCTGACGCTGTACAACCTCACACAGGACATGAAGTACCTGTACAGAGCCTGTAAGGTAGGCTCCAGAGCTGCCAACAAGAATTCTCTTCTTGGGAGGTTGTGAAAAGGCTCTCTTGACTGCTTCATCTAGTTGATTTATTTTTTAAACCATGAGTCTGTAGATAAACCATTATTTAAGGGGATAAAAAGCCTTCCAAAACCATTCAGTTGAATTAACTTCTTTGTTTTTAAGGACATAATTAGACCCAGCACTCTTCCAGTTATGGAAGGAAAACCAAGAAAGATGGAGGATGATCTTGTTTCTTTCTGTCTGATAACTTGGAGCTAGGTGGCCCACGGAGCTCGTTAAAGTTCTTCCAAGTTGCATAGTCTCTCTCAGACCATATGTTTCTCTGCATTTACTCTTTTTATCTGTGTGAACTTTTGAAAATGTTTGGAAGAAATCACTGCAGTGGTTTAACTTGGCCTCCTTTTCAGTTTGCTGACTGGTGCTTAGATTATGGAGAACACGGATGCAGAACACCAGACACCCCCTTCTCCCTCTTTGAAGGTACTCTTCACTCCTTACTTATTTGCCTTCAAATGTTAGTATCTACTCGGTACATAGTATACTTGAATTTTGTCATCAAATTAATTTTATAGCCATTTCTTAAGCTTCTTTATTTCCTAAATGTAGTCAATCTTTAAAAGTAGTTAGCCCCTATACCACCACAGACTAACTAGTAGTCATTGCTACTTATGGAGCCAGGCACATGCTGAGCATTTGCTGATGCTTCATGATCATGATCGTCTCAGCAAAAACATACACACATTATTACCCTGATGTTGCAGAGGATGAGCCTGAGAGTCAGAGGTAAGTGACCCATGGTGAGGGAGCTCACATATGGTAATGGCCGGGCTGTGACTTTTGAACTATTGGGTTCCACTCTGCTTCCTACCTCCTGCTGAATAAAGAGGATGGGCGTCTCAGGAGTGATTTGTTCTAATGTAGAACTGCAGCGCATATAAATAGGTAGATAGTATACATAAATCATTGCCTTTAGCATTACATTGTTGATACTGAAAAGTTGGAGCCATCCTATCTGGTGTAATAAGTTTTCCCTCTTTCCCTTTCTTCAGGAATGGCTGGAACAATCTATTTCCTGTCGGACCTGCTAGTCCCCATGAAAGCCAAATTCCCTGCGTTTGAACTCTAAAAGAAAAGCATGCACCCTGCAAGTCTCTGCATGACCCTCTCTTGTGTATTCAAACCTGGGCTAAGTGCTTTCATTGCTTTAAATTGAAACATGGGGTCAAACTGTGTATTTGATTGAGTTTATTTTTTTTCTGAACTTGCCCTTAGTTCACTTCCTTTTCTTTACCATTTGCTTTTCTTTAAAAGTACCCAAGGAAATATTTTAACTTTAGGTGAAGCTAAATGTAGTGAAAGAGAAATATATGCGTCTTAATGGGATGTTGCCCTCCACCTCTTCTGTTCAGTATTTGTCTTCCTCCCAACAGGAGGTCGGGTGGCTTTATCACTGCTTTTCTCTAAGTGGTTGACTATGGAAGGGGACAAAACATAACAGTGCTTCCAGTAGAAACACTTCACACTTTGCAGACGGGGCCAGGAACCTAGCTACCATTTCACAATCCATGATGGCTATTTAGAGAGAAACATACTTTCAGATGTGCCCCTTTTTGTTGGTAATTAGTAAAGCATTCTGACTCCATGACCAGCTTTTTTATCTAAAACTTCTAAAATGTGACAATTATTTTCAAAATTCTGACTTGAAGGTTGGTTCACAGTAAACAGTAACAGATTAATGTTTTTGCTAAAACAGTCTAGTACATTTTGGAAGTTCGTATGTAAGTTTATTTTTGCAGTTAGTATGAGGGACTGGTTTAAAAAGCTTGTGGAAGAATTCCATTATCTTTCTATTCCATTTGCCCCTGAGTGTTTTGAAGCCCCTTGTATGAGATCAGAAAGCAAGTTCTGTGTCTGAGTACTTTGTGACCTAGGGTTGGAGTTCACTTGTCCAGCTAACCTACACCTTGATTTGTGGTTTACTCACTTTGTAATGACTGGGCTTTCATGTCGGCTGTTACTAAAAGCCTAAGGTATTTTCTTTCCTGTGAATTTGTCTGAATGGTGATCTATTCATCATGTAAGTACAGCACTGTGCTTTTGCTTAAAACAGAAAATTAGTTAGAAATGTTATGTAGCCAGTAAGTTGAACAAGACGACCAAGCTTTTGATAGAAATGCTGTTTATTTAGTAGGTATTATCCAGTAACGTATTTAAAACCGACAGATCCTGGATCTTTGTATATCTTAGGCTTACCATTTCATCACTTTCTGGAATTTATATGGTAGGCAGAAACCCCTGGCACTTCCAATTCTGTATAAAGGTTTTGACCCATCAGCTCCTCCTCCGCCACTGCTGCCTTTCCTAAGCCCATTTTGTTTGTTATGTTTTCACGGATTTGAGGATGTTTTGCTACTTTTTAAAAACAGGGTTTAATAATTTTAAATGTGCCTAATTTTACAGCTTTCTTGGTCACATTTTTGGTCCATTTTTATTGGAACTTTGAACCAAATCCCCAATGTGTATATGCTAGTTCCTGCAGGTAACAGCTCCCAATTATTCCCCGTTTAGCACAAATATCGCTACTATTACTGGAAGTTGACTAACCCGTAGAAGGCTTAGACAAGGCTCCTGACAGTGGGATCTAAAAATCAGCCCATTGCTCAGTTCCTCAGATTCACCTTTTCCTTCTGTGACTTGTGCACGTTAGGGATTATTTTGTGCCTCTTGGATTTCCAAAGGGTTACTGGCAAGCATGTGCATGCTGTGCTTTTCTGAGAAGTTTCAGCTCAACGGTGTCAACATTCACAGTAATACATAAAAGTAGTGCTCAGCAAAGCTCATTTGCCTGTGGCTGTGTGTCCATCTTGAAAGAATAAATCCCATTTGGTTTAGTTAAATGTCTTACTGTACTGTTTCTGCACTTTTAGCTACTGAAGTCACTAACCAAGGGAAAGAGAATGAAACACACCTGTGTTTCTCACAGTCCGAGAAGACTTGATCCCAATGTTTCTCCAAGCATCTCGGGTACTTTGGCCTGGGAAGACTTTCAGGCACAAAGAAGGTATAGGAATGAGATTCTTTTTGGACTGCAGTTCACCTATACGACACTCATGGATGAATTCATCAAAACAAACAATGCAAGTTTCCTTTTTCTCTCTCTCTCTGTCTTTTAAATTTCAGTGCAATGGAAGTTTTTAATCTCAGGCAAAAAGAGTTTTAGTCTCAGGCAAATGCTACAAAGCTAAAACCAATCCCCTGATACAACGGTCGAGACTGAAAGTAACTGTTACACTAGCTCGCTTCCTTTTAAAAGGAAGACACACTTGTGTTTTAGTTCTATTTCTGAGTTACATTTTTCCCTCAGATGTTTTTCTTTTTAATAAGAAAACTTTCCCAAAAGTTGCTTTCCAAAGACTAAGGTAGTAGGATTGTAAAAGTTTGCTGAACAGTGTTCATTTATCCTGTCATATGTTTTCTGTTCCTCCAATGATGAAAATTTTCAGTAGTTAACTTTTCATCATCTAAGAATGAATTATGTTGACTACTTCATATATCCCACTGGGCTTGGGTCTCAGCAGAGTTGTCAGTCTTTAATCCTGACCGTCATTTGCTCTTGTTTTTTCCATCTTTGATGTCAGTTCCAATTATTTGGCATAAAAAGCCTTCTTGATGGTAGACTTTTAGGTAAAAGAAGATCAGAGGCTATTTTCTTTCCTTATTACCACTTCCCTAAGTAACTGGAATGAGAGGCACACTCTGCTCCTACGTCCTCAGGTTAATCTGTGTCTGATCTCGTAAAGCACCGCCTTCCACTAGCTGATCCATGTATTGACTCCTAGAACTCATCGGTAGTTTTTTTATTACTCAGACTGGATCTGATTCCACTCTGCTTCCCCTGAACAGGTTAGAGCACCCCATTTCTGCCTTTTCCATCTTGTTGAACTGTACAAGAGCGATCTCTCCCATAGAAAAGCAACTCTGTTTGGGATATTCAGGGAGCCTGCCCCAAAGCCATATTGTCACTAATTGGGAAGGACTGAGATCATCTGTGTTTCTGTGTTCTGTAAAGGATTTGACTTACTGGTTCTCAATAAAATGTTATCAGTACTACATGTTGTCCTGTGCTTTTTTTGTTTGCTTTGTTAAATTTTAAACTTAAAGACTATTTTCCTTCAATGGTAAATTATAGCTTACATATCACGCCCTTGCGTTTCTCCATACGTTTAATTCACAAGGATTTGTTTCTGACTTTTTATTAATCCTTGGCTCAAACAAAGATTTGTAATTAGTTTTACAGTCAAGATTTACTAAGGGCAAGATGTTAAAATCTGGTCATTATAAAATTAGAAAGAATCCAGTAGGCTTGAAGCAGAGCAGTGTATTAACCATCTCATAGATATGGGAATCCACACTGTGGTTAATAATTTCTAATTCTAGAAATCAGAGTCCTGGTGTGCTACTGCAGGATAATGCAAGGTCAGCAGTTCAAACCCACCAACTGCTCCTCAAAAACCCTAAGCAGGGTCACTGTGAGTCAGACCAACTCAACAGCACTTAACAATAACAATTCTAGAAATTGATATTCCTGATGTCCAATTCTGAAAGAAACTTTGAAATGAGAGGATTAAATGAGGCGTTGTTATGAAATGTGTCTGCAGAAGCGAGAAAGGAGTTCTGAACTGCCTGGGATGGTCCTGTGCCACTTCTGTTCATGGCACAACTACGTAGTGTCACTTAGCACAATAAAGATTTGCCAAATTATAAAATATTACATTTTGTCCTCTGGTACATATGATTAAAATGTACTGTGTTCTCCTCATCTGTTTATCCTGACTCATTACACTCAGGATAAATACATGGTTGTTTTTATTTCACTTCTTCGAATGAAGGACCGGCCCCAGATGTGAATGATCTCTAGGTTGCAGGCAGTGATGTGTGGAGTGGACAGATCTCTTGGGGAGGTCTCCCAGAGACCTCTAGTAATTCTTCGAGAATTGTCACCAACTCCACAAGACTGCATTTCAATTGGAAAGGCCAGCTAGCCCTGTTGGCTAGTTTTCTGGCTCATCTTCCTGCTAGAAGAATAATAATGACAAGCACATTTAAGCGCACCACAGTTGTAATTTCACAAACATAACTTGGAGAAGCAATTTGTCTCTTCTAATGTACCCATAATAGTTTGATTTATTTTTTCCTAATTTTGTATTAGAAAAGACCTTTGCCTCTTTCCATCTCCCCATGTTCTCTGAGTAGAAGAGAATAATCATTTTTATCTCATTTTCCCTCTGTGGATTCAATGTCATTGAAAGTCTCCAGTTTTCACTGTTCTTATAAGCATCATTTAAACTGATAAAAACCTACAAGCCAGTCTCCTGATACTTAGCTTTTTCATTCTGTTCCCCACCCAAACTCGCCATCTTCCTTCACAAGCTGTGGGTCAATTAACAAAGTGAGAGAACATTGGCTCTTTCACAACTGAGGACATATTGGCTTCATTGCTCCCATTATGTAAACTTGTCCAGATACTTTGCCAGAAGCCTGTGCTACTGCATCCTGGGGACCATATTTGACAATTTTGTGAGTAACGACAGAAAGTGGCAAACACAATAAGCCAAGAGGCGAAATAATGAAGATAGAGAAATGGATCTTAGCAGGATTGATGCTCACAGTCAACCAATTTCGCATTTCTACATTATGTTAACTTTTCAAGCACATGCAAATTAACGACCATGGTGACATTAAATCTGCAGCTAATCTTATGTCACTCTGCAGATAAGTGTTAGAGAAAAGAGCTTGTGAGGCACCAAGTCATTCTGCAGGGAAAGGCAGGACTCTGGGTAAATCAGTTTATGAAGTCATGTCACAATTGCCGAATTTCTCTTCTCTGATGGAGCTGGCATGTTCATGAAGGCATTTATAACCCAAAAAGTATTGATGTGGCTCTCTGTGAAAGCTGATAGTTAATAGTGATAGTTATCTTGGGATTCAGCATTCAGGAAATCACAGCACCCCTAGATTGCTGGAACTGTCAGTTTATGTACGGCAGCCATGCCCCGAGCAAGGCTCAAAAACCTTTTATTACCCAAATCCAGTAAGCATTTGTATGTTTATGTACAAAATGCCCTG